CCCATCAACCAACGCTGGGCAGGGCAGCGCTCCCATCAACCAACGCTGGGCAGGGCAGCGCTCCCATCAACCAACGCTGGGCAGGGCAGCGCTCCCATCAACCAACGCTGGGCAGGGCAGCGCTCCCATCAACCAACGCTGGGCAGGGCAGCGCTCCCATCAACCAACGCTGGGCAGGGCAGCGCTCCCATCAACCAACGCTGGGCAGGGCAGCGCTCCCATCAACCAACGCTGGGCAGGGCAGCGCTCCCATCAACCAACGCTGGGCAGGGCAGCGCTCCCATCAACCAACGCTGGGCAGGGCAGCGCTCCCATCAACCAACGCTGGGCAGGGCAGCGCTCCCATCAACCAACGCTGGGCAGGGCAGCGCTCCCATCAACCAACGCTGGGCAGGGCAGCGCTCCCATCAACCAACGCTGGGCAGGGCAGCGCTCCCATCAACCAACGCTGGGCAGAGCAGCGCTCCCATCAACCAACGCTGGGCAGAGCATTGCTCCTAATGCTGTACGCTGATGAAATACAATGCAACAGACAGAGAAAATACTTAAGAAAAGGAATAAGGAAAGCAGCCTGTGCTCTGTAGGCAGCCTCGTATGGCCTGTCACTCCTTTTTGAAAACAAAGGAAAGCGGAAAAATACACCTTGAGGGAAGAGAAAAAACAGCTCAGACAAGTGCTGACACATCATCTCCTGAGGCCAGGGCTCAGCCAGCTCCAACCAGCAGCCATGTGTACAGGATCACAGAGCAGGAAGTCTGCAGGTTTATAGGAGGAGCCGGGGCCACAACATGGTACAAATACAGCCAGGTGATGGGATGGCGGAGCTTCAATGTGACATATATAAAGACATGGGAAGATAACCTACAATCACCATATCATGTTATCGGATTTTAACTTATTTACTATTGTCACCTTTCAAGATTCACAGCTTGTTTAAGCTAAACATCTCTTCTCCAGGAAAAGGGGAGAACCAGACAAACTTTTACATCGGACTTCAAATCAAAATCATTTCACTACTGAGATCTTTCAAGATTCACAACAAGCCCCAGCTAAAGGTCCATCATATCTACATGAGACACAGAACGAGGTGATCTTCTCATTCACAATGAAAGTGTCAACCCGGCATGTATATGCATCCAGAGCAGGGGTACCCAAAACTTCAGCCGTCCAGGTGTGATGAAACTACAAGCCCCAGGAGGCATTGCAAGACTCCGACAGCCACAAGCATGACTCCCAAAGGCAGATACATGATGAGATTTGTAGTTTCACCATAGCTGGGGGGTCGAAGTTTGACTACTCCTAATCTAGAGGATATCTAAATGCATGTAATGGTTTTCAATGGTATCATTCAGGGCTCGTTCACACCAGCAGCCCCACAGCTGAAGTATGCGTGTGTCCGTACAGTGCCGATGTGATCGTCCGAGCCGTATCACACTGTTTCTTTTCTTTTTTGTTAGAACTTTATTGATATGTCACAAGTGACATTTCATTCAGTTCTATGCACTCACCACAATGCCATGCAAGTGTACCTCATCTCACTGTGGTGCCCTAAAAAGAGAAAACAAAAAGTACCGCATGCCATACTTTAAGCGCACACCATCAGAACGCAGTGGGGTGAACTGTCACCATCCATGAAAAGGCAAACTGCCTGGAAAAACCGGCCAGAAGCCAGCACACCTGGAACGCAGATGGTGTGAACGGGCCACCAAACTAAACGTTTACCTGCGTTAAGAGGAAATAGAATTCTGAGGTGGAATGTTTCAAAACTGGAGCAGAAAAAAAACAAAAAAAATCTGAAGCAGTTGTGCACGGCAACCAATCAGCTTCTCTCTCCAGTTTGCTCAGGTAAGATTTGAAAATGAAAGAGAGAAGCTGATTGGTTGCCATGCACAGCTGCTCCAGATTGTGTCTGCCCCAGTTTTGATAAGTTCTCAGTGTGTCCAGGTTCTGGTTAGAGACTCTATATCAGGGGTGGGCAACTCCGGCCCCTCCAGCTGTGCTTTAACTACAAATCCCAACATGTCTGCAAGTCATGCCTGCAACAGTCAGTCTTGCAATGCCTCATGGGACTTGTAGTTCCATATCAGTTGGAGGGCCAGATTTGCCCGCCCCTGATCTATATGCGGCTAAATGCATGCGAACACGGCTAAACCCACTTTGAAGTACGAAGATCTAAATGCAGAAAAAGTGATCTGGGGAGCTGAAAGTGGTTTAGACCTCCGGGGTAACTTCTTCTAGGTTTACAAAATCTTAAGTGCCAGTGTGAATGAGGCCTCACGTCTGACTATAAATCATATTAAACAAATAAAGGTTTCACTAATATGATATTTCAAACTATACTAGTCCCAGCTAAAGAATCCTCTCCAGTAAAAGAGGAGGACGAGGTGAATGTTTACATCCGATTCCAAATCACATTATATAAATCCGAATTCCACTATTGTGATCTTTAAAGATTAGTTCCAGCTAAAGACTCGAGTCCAGGAAAGAGGTGTACGTTTACATTCGATTCCAAACCATATTATACAAATAAGAGTTTCACTATTCCGATATTTCAAGCTTTCCTAGTCCCAGCTAAAGACTCCTCACCTCCAGGAAAGAGGAGGGCGAGGTGTACGTTTACATCCGAGACTGACATGAAGAGATTTCTTGGCACATTCACCTTGCAGGCAGGATTAAGGGAAGCTGTGTAGAATGATATATAAAATCATACATTGTATCATGGCGGGCGGCTATTTCAGTTTACAGCCATGTGTGCTGTATTTGTAGCAGTCCAGTGTTATAAATAAACACTATAGAGAGCCCAGCAGGACGGAGAAGGGTCACCCCCCCCCCCCACTCACCACTCCCAGGATGTCCTGTGCTCCCCTCCCATCGCACATTCCTACAGGGAAACTCCCTGCAGCCTCTCAGGGGAGGAAGGACGCTGTATACATACGGATACATCAGACAAGGCTGACACTGAGGCCTATGGCAGACACACCGATGTCCGGCCACAGAGCTCATCCTTACCACAGCTCTGCCATTACTCTGCAGTGTCTGCGCTCCCTTCCCCCATCATGGACTGAGTTCATCGTTCACAAATGTCCAACATATGGAGATCCATAAACGGATGATTATCACCCATATGGAGGACGTCTCCATGTGCCGGGAAGAGACGTCACATTCCGTGTTTATCTCTAGTGAGGACTTGCAGCGAACTCTTCATTCTACAGCTGATTGCTAGATTCTGGGAATATCTCCGTCAGCAGACAATCCCATCGTCTTCTCAACTGACTCCGATTATTACTATTGTTCCCGAAGCAACAAAAACTGCAACCATGAAATGTTCTTCCAATGGACCTATAGTCTGGTGCCGGGCATCCAGAACCTCCATACACAGCAACAACCGAATGTATTGTAAGGTTCTAGAAACCCATCACTACAGGAGGTGACAGAGACAAGGACAACAACAATGGCGGATAATGCCCATCACTAAGCTGGCCGTACACTATATACACATTGGTTGTACAATCTCTATACAAACAACTTTACATTTACCAGAACCCTATAACATACAGGGGCCTTCCCAATCCATCCAACTACATGATGCTGATGGGAGACCTAAAGGAGATTGTACAGTGTGTGGTCACCTTAAAAGATCAGATCCAGACAGTCTGACTTCCACATGAACTACAATAACCAGCATGCCAAGTGCACCCATTATAGGGGGATCACCAGAATACATGTTACCCCAACAACCTGAGCAATGCTTGAAGCAGAGGACACAACACATCTGTCTCCAATGTTATATATAGATGGAGATCGTCTGGTACTAGTCATGGTGAAAATAGCTTGTTTACTTCCCGGCAACCGCGGAGTACGCACAGCCGACCCCCCCCCCCTTGAGAACGTCCAGCCACCATCCTAAAAAACTCAGGACATGACACCTAACAATGTACCCATTACTAATGCCAGCCAATCACAGGGCACTAAAGCAGAAATTCCACCCAGAGTCCCTTCGTCCCTGCCCCGCGGGCACCCACATCTCAACACCGTCCCTGCCCCGCGGACACCCACATCTCAACACCGTCCCTGCCCCGCGGACACCCACATCTCGACACTGTCCCTGCCGCACGGGCACCCACATCTCAACACTGTCCCTGCCCCGCAGGCACCCGTCCCTGTAAGGTTACCTCAATCTGACCAATAATTTCCTCTGATCAGACATTAGCTGGAGCGGCCATACAACCAACTTATCAGCCAGTCCAGCCCATCCCCCAGTAATTCCATTGCTGCCAGTTGTTCCCAATACCCAGCAAGTGTCCTACATTGTGATTGGTCCAGAAAAGGAATTGCCACACATGCCCAGACAATTGTTTCTGGTGTAATGGAAGCATCATCCTCCCAGAGTTATATAAAACCTTCTAAATTCATCCTACAAGACAGCTCAGTAGGCAGAGTGTGTGCAGTGCAATCAGATTGTGTGACCCTGGAAATACCACTAAGGCACTCCGTACTGTGCAATCAGCTGGGGTACCTGGATCAGCCTCAGTGTCCCTGGAAATACTGGCCAGTGGCCACTAAGGCATTCCACTGGGATCACTGGCTCAGTAACACTGCCCCCAAAATAATGGTCACTAAGGCACTCCGTTACCGCACAATCAGCTGGGATAACAGGCTCAGCAGCAGCTCTACTGGAACAAAATGGCCACTAAAGCACTCCATACTGTGCAGACAGCTCGGATCAGTGGCTCAGCAGCAATGCTAATCACTAAGGCACTCCGTACGGTGCAATCAGTGGCTCAGCAGCAATCCTAACCACTAACGCACTCCATACTGTGCAATCAGCAACAATGCTGGCCTCTAAGGCACTCCGTACTGTGCAGTCAGCTGGGATCAGTGGCTCAGCAGCAGTGTCCCCGGAAATACTGCTCCCCGTGTCCCTCCATAGTGTTCTGTGCGGACCTACATATCCACACACAGCAGATGTGCCCGAGGCTGTGGCGCTGTACGGTGCTCACCTCTATCGTGGCTCCGAGACGGATCCAGCCGGCCCGGGAAAGTTAGCGTTGGAGGAGGTCGGGAGTCTCCGGGGTACGTAGTCCCGTGTGCTCGGTTCTCCTGTACTGTAACGGTCTCCTCAGACGGCGCGGTGACGTAGCCAGCTCCCGCCCTGCCCCCGTCCTCCAGCCGCACCACAGGAAGCGCATTCCAGGCCGGTGACGTCAACGCGGTGGGCGGCGCGGAGTGGACACGTGGGTGAGGTGAGGATGGAGGGGAGCGGGGAGGAAGGGTGACCTCAGGCAGTGTGCTGGGAGCGGGCTCAGGGCTGGGAAATTGCTGCTGAGTAATGGCCTCCTCCAGTCATAGCAAGCAAGCAGGCAGCCATCTGGAGGGGGGGGGAGGGATGTGTGTGGGACATCAGCTGGACTGTTCCATAACAGTAATTCAGACTTTACAGAGGAACTTCTCATAATTCATTAAACTCATCCACAGTATGCCATTCACCATGTTGGCCACTTATCCCAAAAAACATGCAAGCCTAGCAATTCCTATGTTCTTTTCTCCACATAAATTCCCTGTGTCGCCATCTTTGTTTTTTGCATCATTGGAAACTGGTTCTCCCAGCCACAGATTTCGTCTCATGGAGGGGTAGAAGAAAGAGAAGCATGGCCACTCTACTGTTCAATATTTTAGTGTGCCTGCCGCCCCTTTTCTGCCAGAGCATCCCAATTTGCTGACAGCCAGGCGGGGAGATGTGTAAGGGCCCTAGACATCTCTCTGCTCAGCTCTTAGCAAGCTTCCACCAAGCTCCTGGCAACCAGTGACATCAGTTACAGTGTCCCGCCAAGCTCCTGGCAACCAGTGACATCAGTTACAGTGTCCCGCCAAGCTCCTGGCAAACATTGACATTGGTCACAGCGTCCCGCCAAGCTCCTGGCAAACATTGACATTGGTCACAGCGTCCCGCCAAGCTCCTGGCAAACATTGACATTGGTCTCAGCGTTCCGCCAAGCTCCTGGCAACCAGGGACATCAGTCACAGTGTCCTGCCAAGCTCCTGGCAACCAGGGACATCAGTCACAGCGTCCTGCCAAGCTCCTGGCAACCACTGACATCACACTGCGCCCCCTACTGCCTCAGGTGGCAAAATAGCTAGGGACACCCCGGCATTATTTATTCTGCATCTTACTTAAAAGTTCATGGGTTCAATAACACTTTAATAGGATGATTTTTATTGCCATATGTGTCTCATTGGGGAGGTTTCCTTCACTTCCTGTTCTGTAGACATGACAGGAAGCGAGAGCAAATCTCTTAAAATTAGGAAAATGCCCTTTTAGATTGTTGCCATCTGGACAAGTGTCCCCATTGGAAGGTTTCTCCCCTGTTCCAGTACTGGTGACAATTCAAGTTTAGATTTTGCCTCACTCTCAGTCCTGCAGACAATGTTTGCCGAATACAGTAATTCCCTTATCTAATAAAAATAACTTTTATCTTCAGATGTACTTGAAGCCTGTTTGTAACTAGGGATGAGTTCAGGTTTGGACCTTGCCTGAGCTCCTCAGAACCCAGAAGGAGCTCCTATCGACATGGAAATTCCTGTCCGCAGCTTGATGTAAACAAAGGGGCGGGATGCAGTGACATCATAGACCATATACAGTAAGTTGCCATATAAGGTAAATGATGTCAGCACAAGCATCCCGCCCAGGGCTGGATTTTCCACAAGGCCAACCGAGGCCCAGCCTCAGGGCAGCAGGGAGTAGAGGGACAGCAGGGGCGTGGAATTCCTATCTCCTGACGGCCGGGACATGCACCTCCGAGCTCTGGGCAGGTAGTTGTTTTCTACATTTAGCCCTGCTTTGGGCAAGCAGGTCCAAATGTACAGCGGGGAAGCCGCAGCTTGTTTTGTACAAGTGATCTCGTCGACGTTGCCGAGATTATTTTTATGCAGCCTGCATACAGGGGGGCGCATTGAGTAACCTGGCATTGGGCAGCAGAGACAGTAAATCCGGCCCTGATCCCGCCTCTTTGTTTACATGCAACTGTGGAGGAAGGAATTCAAGGGCCTGCAGCTGATTGGGTGGAAGTACCCATGGCACTTCCTTATTCGGAGGAGCCGAGTTTCGGGCGAACCTGAGCTCATGCTGATTTGTGACATGATGCTGCTCCCAGGCGAACATGACTGCCTCTAGCACAAGCCATGTAGTTTGATTCACTTATGAAGCCCTTTCCCATGCAACTAGCTACAAGGAACAATATGGCTGCATTGTAAGACCAGTTGTAAGAGGAGTTGCTTGGTAGGCAGCTCTGAATCCCATTAAGCACCTCTGAGGGCATATGAGATACATTGAGCTCCATGTAAGGGCCTATTCACACCAATTTTCTTTAATTGAAATGATATTCTGTTCACCGCAGCACGTTGCGCTGTGACCTATGCTTATCTTGTGCAGAAAACTGCAGGTCAGCACTGTATTGTGAAAGGGCCCTACTGTCCCGTTGACACAACAGGAAGTGAGAGGAAATCTGGCCAAAGTAAATCCCCTCTTGGACAGTTGTCACTGGAATGGATTCCCTCTATTAGAACATTTTTCTCTTGTTTTATTTTTTGGCACTCTCTCATCACTTTTAGTCCCATTGACAATGGTCACCAGGACAAGCAGAGAGAGTAAATCATCTGCATAGGGCAATAAGACTTTCCAACTCTGTACAAGACGAAAATAAAAAGTTTTGGCTTAGATACAATAAAAGTGACTTCACTTTTGAGGAAGTTGTCCTTTAAAGCAGAATGAAACTCTAAAAATAAAAAAGGAGGTCAGATTTTTACCAGAAGAGACATGCAAAGTATCTTCAGCCAATGACTTCTTCCTCTTTCCCCCACGATTATTTCTTTTCTGTGTACACGGCACGGGACATGGGCATTGGCTCATTTGGACCAGGTGACCAGGATGATGTTATGCCAGTGCATGTGCCCAGGAGTTACATCATCAGATGCAGAGAGGATCACCGTGGGACACGGGAGAATTGTCAGCTGAGATGTCGGCCACAGGGTACCCAGTGGGGACCTGGACCTGTCATTGCTGGAGGACAACACAGTAGGTGTGCGCCATAATCGGCAAGTATGCAGTTCATCACTTCTCGTAAAATACCTTCCTCCCCTGCTTCCGCCATCTTCACTGTGCAATGTAACACATACTTTGTCTTCTTCCTACAGGGCCGCACAGCCGGGTCCTCTACCTACTCCCCACCACGGCCCGATGTATTCCTAGTCCTTCCTATATACCAGGTCCCAGCACGTGCTTAGCCCTTCAGAAAGTCGGTATTTGGTGCCAGGGACAGTTTAGGAAAAGGGCCCTATATTTCTTTAAATGATCACCAGACCCCAAACAGTTCCGGATTCTGGAGGTACAGCCCGCTAAGACCCACGTAAGATCCCCTTGTGTGTATCTGTAATCAGTGAAGCAGGACCATTCCTCTTTAAACAGACCTTCACCCATAAGAATAGCATCCTCTCCCCTGCCTCTTCCTCTTACACAATTGAAAAATGTGTTTTTTTTTTAAACTGTAAATGCCTTTATTTTATTTTTTATGCATTAATCTGAATTCACGCCTAGGCGAGGATGAGCTACCCAGCCCCGCACTGCCTCCCGGGATGTCTATCTCACACACAACAGGATGAAGTTTGGGAGATATTGTGCATGCACAGACACTCTATGGGGCCTACTAGAAACCCATGGCATGTCTGCTCATGCATCGGATCTTGTTTCAAGATGGTGGAATGGAAACTGAGCAATGCAAGAAGAACTGCACCTTCCAGAAAGACAATGCTGGACTACCCACATTACTAGTGGAGGACTAGTAATCCCAAATTCTACTTTAACTTATGGCTGAGTACATATACTTTTAATTAATCCAATTATCATGTGTGTTGTCTTAAAGGAGATGTAAAGTCCCAGCATATCCTCTCCTGTTACAACATCAGCATTGTAATAGGAATACATACTAAAGTTGCTTCTGATAATACAATCAAATCCCTTTTATGTAGTGAGTGCTGCCTTCCGTCTGCCCATCACTTTCATCAACTTCCTGGATTCCCAGTGTGGTTTACATCTCTTTTCCTGCTGCTTGATGTGATGCAATCTCCATTTCTCAAGACCATATATCCCATCATGCATTGCTTCCAGCAAGCAAAGCTGATGTTACATTGTTCAGACATTGAGTTGTAGTTCAGAAGGCGGGCTCTGTGAGAGTTGCAACATAAGGGAGTGCGTATTCAGAGGGCTGAGTGAAATAGTGCATTGAGGAAAAAAAAATTCTATCATCTTCAATAAGTAAGTTAACAAACTTCTAGATCAATGTGGCTATTAGGAATGGGATAGAACTTATGGAAATTCAATATAGAAATGCATAATTATTTCTAGTTTTTAACCATAGATACCCATTAACCACTTGCCGTCCGCCCGTTGTAAAAAAACGGACGGACGGCACTGCAGCATTGGCGGGTTGCGGTCGACAGACGGCATTTTTTTTCTGCTCGCGTGCGCCCCCTAGCTGGCACGCACGGGCAGAAAAGACCACCGTCCCTGCCCCGCGGACACCCACATCTCAACACCGTCCCTGCCCCGCGGACACCCACATCTCGACACTGTCCCTGCCGCACGGGCACCCACATCTCAACACTGTCCCTGCCCCGCAGGCACCCGTCCCTGTAAGGTTACCTCAATCTGACCAATAATTTCCTCTGATCAGACATTAGCTGGAGCGGCCATACAACCAACTTATCAGCCAGTCCAGCCCATCCCCCAGTAATTCCATTGCTGCCAGTTGTTCCCAATACCCAGCAAGTGTCCTACATTGTGATTGGTCCAGAAAAGGAATTGCCACACATGCCCAGACAATTGTTTCTGGTGTAATGGAAGCATCATCCTCCCAGAGTTATATAAAACCTTCTAAATTCATCCTACAAGACAGCTCAGTAGGCAGAGTGTGTGCAGTGCAATCAGATTGTGTGACCCTGGAAATACCACTAAGGCACTCCGTACTGTGCAATCAGCTGGGGTACCTGGATCAGCCTCAGTGTCCCTGGAAATACTGGCCAGTGGCCACTAAGGCATTCCACTGGGATCACTGGCTCAGTAACACTGCCCCCAAAATAATGGTCACTAAGGCACTCCGTTACCGCACAATCAGCTGGGATAACAGGCTCAGCAGCAGCT